ATAGAAAAATATTAATGTATACTGACCTGCATTATTTATTATTTAAATGCTTTTATGGAAAGTCATCTATTCCATGAATTTACATGTTGTAAGAAGTATTTAATACTAAAGGTCAAAGACCAGCTTTACCACCAAGAATTTGCTTTGATTTTTGTATTTTTATTTCTTAAATTTTTATAAAAAATATCATCTTTTTTATTTTAAAAGTTTTTAAAAAATTATTTAAGATTTAGATAAAAATAATAATATTTAGATTCATATTTATTCTATTTTTTTAAAAAAAATTGAACTAAATATTTATTTTAATCTTAAAAAGCTATTCAATCTAAAAATTATACTAAGATCATTAAAAATAAAATCTAAGATTATTTAATTTTCATCTGTATATTGAACAACAAGAAATAAAATAATTTTTTTACTTCATTTCTGATACTTGACGAATAAATATATTTCTTTTTAGAGACTCTTAAATTAATAAAAAAAATATTTCACTTTGCAATTTGATATTATAATTATATTTGGTATTCTAAAAATTTCTTTTAAAATTAAAACATCATTTTAATTTTAGCTTTTATAAACATAAATTAATTAATATAAACATATTAATTATACATATGTATAAACATTATATAATTTTATGTTTATATATGCTATAAATATTATATAATTTTAGCTTGTATAAACATAAATTAATTAATTTATATATATTTTTTGTAATATTTTACACTTTATGAAAATTTTTAGATATTTTTTGTTTAGTTCTTATATAGAAATATTTTTATAAGAATTAGGTCACAAGCACACCCTAAATTGATATATACACACCCATTAAATCTATATGCACATCCAAGGCTTCTAATTGGCTCATCTAGATTCTATTTCTCTTTGTCTTGGCATAGGTTTTGGCCCCCCTCCTTCTCTTCTTTCCTTTGGCATGGATCTTGATTCTTCTTCTCAATAAAGAAAAAAACAGAAGAGGCGACCAAGATTTGCATTGGGACAAAGAAGAGAAGGTAGAGGAGATTGCAACCTACACTAAAGCAAGGAAGAAAGATCAAGATCCACATTAAGACAAGAAAAAAAAGATCTGGATGAGCCAATTAGAAGCCTTAGATGTGTATATAGACATAATGTTTGTATATATAACAACTTGGGATGTACTTGTAGCCTAAGCCTTTTTATAAATACATACACAATAATAGTTTAAAAATTATATAATATTTATCTTTTAAATATTACTGTACTTTAGTTTTAATTTTGAATAATATTTTGGACTATTAAAAATTAAATATGTGGTTTTTGTATAAGAAATTATAATTATATGTTTAAAAAGTAAAAAAAATATATTTTAAAAAATATATTAAAGTAGAGATTTTTTTAATAGATTTATTAAACTCAAAGATATAATTTAAAATAAAAAAAGAAAAAAGAAAAAATCTTGATTTTATTTTGAAGAATACATATTTAATTTTAGTCTCAATTTTATTTAAATTTTAAGATCAAAAGAAAATTAATAAAATATTTTTAATATGAAAATTTACAATACAAACTCATTTATCATTTGTTTAGAATACTTCAATTTAAAAAAATGCTTAGAACATTTTTTCCAAAATGTCTATAATACAGTTTCCTTTTTTGGAATATGCAACTCAAACAGATGAGCTATTGAGTTGCATTGAGTTGCATTTTGTGGAAAGCTCAGTTCCAAGCTCAAATTTCCCAATAATCTCCAAGTTTGTGTGAACAATGCTTCCTTCTTACAAGTTGCAGTGTGAAAAGAAAAGACAAAATTCATTCTTTTCTATTCTTTCCTAGCAACATTCCTGTGCGATAGCAACATGACGTTAAAATACAAGCACCAGAGCAATAAAAAGCAACGGCATCTGATTAAAAATTCTATAAGAATGCTTCTGCAGGAAGCAGAAGTCTCCCAAGTGTGGCATGGTCGCAAGAATCATTTGTGTATCCTCTTTTGGTGTGCAAGAATGTGAGGATTGAGCATCTCCCTTTTTCAACTCTTTGCAGGAATGCTTCGGCTGGTGAAGGCATTCAATGCTCCGGTGGGACGCTTTGTTTTGTTTATTGCATTTGACGACCTTTTTCAAACTGGGTTGGTGTGTGAGGCTAGCAATTATTATGATCCGAACCAAAGCCTGAAATCTTCCTTCAAGTTTGTCTTCTAGATTTCGATCACTTGCAGGTATGTGAGAGAGGACTTGAAGCGGCTTCAAAATTAATCCTTTTGATGCAAGATCATCCAAGCAAGTCTTTGATATGCATTGTTTTTTTTTTTTCTATTTCTTTTTTCTATTTTTTCTATTTCTGAGTTATTTAAGACTTCGTTTTTTTTCAGTGATTCTTAGCATAGGATAGAGAGATGTCGTAGTCGATTTCACAGAATCTTACAATATTTATGGAGTCAGAGAGAGAGAGAGAGAGAGAGAGAGAGAGAGAGAGAAATGGGGCAATAATCATAGCTGAAGTGAGTGAGATATGAGGTTTTGCGTCTCTGGACTCTACTGTCGAAGAGGCTCATTGAATCCATGGCCTGCAAGTTTAAAGAAAAGTGTGGGACTTATTTGCGTGCTTTTCATACCACGGTTCATAGAAAGTCCGACACGTCGAGCAGGGGTGGAAATGCTCCAAGTCTGAAATCTCGGCATCAATCAACATTGAGGATGAGGAGATGGCACAAGCTTGACAAGTTGTCGGTTTAGGTTTTACCCACCAACAGTCTGGTCAATCATAGGAATGCTTTGGTGGCTCCCGGCCATAATTGACTGCCTCTTTCAATCACGCGAAAGTCTTTCTCTTACTTTTGTAATTTTTTTTCTTGGCTGTCTGTATGTGTGTATGTAGTGAATATATGTATAGAGGATGTTGGTGGAGTGGGTTAATTTGTTTGTACCTTGTCGTGACTTTGTGTCTTTCTAGACTCACGAGGGGTCCCATCCGCGTCAGCTCATACTCACTGCGGAGGTGAGAAATAAATGCCTCCCCAAGCCCTAAACCTAGTGCCCACAAGGTTTGTGGCTGTCCCTGCGTTCTTCACAAGTGTGCGTGCTTATCGTACCCTAACTTTGCAATATAATATAGGCAAATGAGATCTTACTGTAACCTTCCCGACTGGGTAGTTCTGATGAGCACACCGATCAAGCCCGTTGATTACCGGCAGAAGGAACGATACTTAACATGTTACTACTATCTTCTAGCCTCAAGGTTTTCTTCGTGCTTGAGCGCAATGATAACGCGACCTCTGACATCGAATAGTCAAGCACCATCAATTTGCTTGAGGTCCGGTGGGGAAATCAGAACGCCGCGGAGCAATCCTCCAACATGAAGTGACACTACTGGGACTAGTACCTAATCAGGACCTCGATCTAGCAATTAGATAAGTTACCGAGACACCAATGCATACCAAGCAGAGGGAGTAGAGATCACAATGTAGACGAGGCCCAACTGAACCACGAGAAGCTCATGAAATAACCTTCAACGCTACAGTTGGGATAGCTAAAGATCATATCATGCGATTGACTCCACGAGACTGTTCACTGACTGCTCTGGAATTACTAATCTTTCGTAGAGGATCAGATCAACAACCACAAAGTCCTTGTTCACTGAAGCCAAGCTGAATCCGAGCCATGAGCTTGCGATTTTGGCTGATGAAAAGCCATTGAGCGGCGACGCGGTGAGTATAGACCCTCTGAAAACACCAGCTGTATGTCCTCACACTCAAAGCACAACACTGTTGCACACACAGCCTTGGGCAGAAGCTATAGGGACTGAATCTTGCTCGTCGCCTCTGATCCCATGTCAGCTTTGTGTTTTGATCAGTGCTCGGAGACCATTCCCATGGAGGATTCGCTCGCTGCAAAACTTCGCCGTCATCACAGTAACGGCTTCGATCTACAGAAAGGAGACGTCATTCTGGAATTCTTTTGCATGCTGCCCTCCTGCCCTCTGGAAACAAGTTTTGTGTGAGGAAAACATGAAAACTTCATCATTTTGCAATTGGGCGTCATAAAGGTCCCGGTTTTAGCATTTTGTTTTTGCAAAGGTTTTTAATTATTAGGGCTGCCCACTGTGTGACTGACCACATTCTTGTCGGTGAAACTTTGTGGTCATGTCGATGGGCTTTTGCTCAAAGTAATGTGGTCGTTCAGAAACGGAAATTTAGCAGTTGTGTAAAGTGGGTGAGTAGGTTTGGCTTTTGTGTGAGATGCTCTCTTTGATCATTTAATCTTCACCAACTAAAGGATTTTGCGGTCAGTGAGGATTCCTTTGCTTGACATTCATGTTAAAATTATGAAGGTTCAAAAACTGTGTGTAAGTTGTAGATTCATTTTTTAATACTAAAACTTTCTCTGTGATGACTGATGTTTTGTAAATGGAATTAAACTTCAAAAAAAATAAATAAAAGAAAATAGAAATGATAAATATATGTACATACATGTATGGTTCTTATATGAAAATGATGTACAACAATCATGAAGTGCAATGATGTAGAATAATTTAAACTATTCTACATTATCTTGTAAATTTTCTTCAGTAGTAATATATATATATATATATATATATTTAGAGAGAGAGATTCATGCAAAGTATCTACATTTTCATATTTAATCTTTCAAAGTACCTACTTCAATCTTCCTCAACTTAAAATCACTGACTCAGACACACTCTCACTGGTACACATGTGTGAAGCAGAGAGAGGTAATGTGAGTGTTGCTTATATTCAATTGACCCAAGAATAAGAAAGCGAAATGGGAATGGCGCAAAGATGGAAACTTCCATTTCAGTTAAAAATCCACAAAAGCTATGTAGTTGGACCCAGCAGAGGAAAACAAGGGGAGAGGGCAAATGATGGAGAGTAGATGAACGAGGGAAAAAAATTGGGCCCACTGGCACAGTTCATCGAAGTGGGAACAGAAAGGAAAGGGAGAGTGCGAAGGGGCGTGAATACCAAGACAGAGTGGGATGTATGAAAATTGAGAAATGGGAAAGGGAGAGAGAGTGTGTGTGAGTGTGAATGCTAAGAATACTCTCGCATGCTTTGCACCAGCACACACAGCATCGCAGCTGACGCTTGTCAGAAGGGAGGAGGGCTCGGTGACCTGCTTGCCTGTGCTCACTTCCCCACCGAGCTAGCCACCTGCCTCATCATCCCCCCGCTCCTGTTATCAACGCTCTCGCTGCTGCTTCTGCACGTGCAAGTGCAAGTGCAAATTACACGGTGCTGGTGGTGCGATTTGACACGGTGCTGGCGCTGCACTTAACGATTAGATTACAAGCCTCGCGTCACGGGGCTCTCATCCCTCTACTTTGCCTCTCTCTCTCTCTCTCTCTCACCTACACACTGTGAGTGTGAGTGTGTGCAACTGTGTGTGGGTGGGTGTTGAGCAGGAGCTGTCAGTTACTGTCTTGTCCGAGACTTCATGGATGCACACGAGTTCGTCTTTTATCAAGTGTGCAGAGCAGGTGATCGCACACCTCCGAGTCCATCCTTGCCGCCGAGTCTACCCTTGGTCAACTAGTCATTATCATGGAAGTCAAGGCGCGAATCAGGTTGCCGTAACTAGTTGCTGTGAGCGTTCAGTTCCCAGACTGCACCGGGTTTGTTGCTGCAGTTTCATTAGTGCCGTGACTGGGTTTTCGCGGGGTGTGAGTTGACGTAGTTGTAGCCTGCACTGCTGAGTAGGTGATCCACGCTTTTGCGAGGCAGGTGTGCTGATTCGGCGCACCAGGGGAGGCGCGTTGTGCACAATCATTGCATTGTGAAGAGGGAGTAGTAGTCTTGCTTGCGACAGATACCTATCATATCTGGGGCAGAGCTCTAGTTGTACAATCTTCGTCTTTACAAGGTTGTCGCGAGTGCAAACTTGCACTGCCGTCGATGTCTCGCAGTGGTTAAGAATTTTTACAGCCTAGGTCGCTGGCATCCTTTGCAGCTGGTCGTTGAAAACTTCTTGCTAAAACTAAATACTACCCTGTATTACTGTAGACTACGCTGTCACTTATCCCTGCCATGTTTCATCGTTTTAGGGAGTGGGATAATGCGAATGCGTGATTTGTCACAATCACTTATCCTTGTAGAAATCCGTGCTGGTCTATGCTTATTCGATAGCATTGATGTAATACCACTTGCCTACTTAAAGCCCTAATTTTCCGGGGGAGTTTTTGATTGTTGAAGCTGGATTATGGGCGCGTATCTAGAGGGCTATGGATGATGTAGGCACACGCATTTATAGATTTTTATTGCATTTTCCCCAGATTCAAAAGCAACTAGCCATCGCTGTAGGACGCCGCCCCTGCGAAGAGGCATGGCTGCATTGCGATTGTACCATGGGCTTGGCACTCCCTATTGCAATAATTCATTGAGTTCTCACTTTCGTACATCCGGTTTCTGCAGGTCTTGATTCGTGAGGTGGTACTATCAATTGTTGAAACCGTAAATAACAATCGTTGAAACGCGCGTTTCACCACCAGGCACCGTGTCACGAAAATTAATGGTATCCTGAGTCGAGGGTGGTCCTTTCAGTCAATTACAAGTTGTGGAGTCTTGTGCACTGTTCGAACGGAGCCCAGAAAATTCCAAATCTCGACGATTGAATTCCCCTCGAGACATGGCTGAGATCAAAATCCGTATGCCTCCAGCCGCAGGGCCTCTATCGGCTGAAGATATATTGACAACGGAAGCTGGTACCAAGGGATCCCAGGATTTAAAGCAGACTGGACAATTACCTGTAGTTATTACACAAGAAGTCGAGCGTGGACGCTACAGCACCTTCGTAACATCGCTACGGCCACGCACATCTCTTATTCAAAAGGTGCTGCTCAAGACCTATGGCAGTTTTCAGAGTCCGTCTCTTTTGTGGGGTCAAGGAGGTCTCTAGGAATGCATGCTACTGTTTGGGATGATGCAGACTGATTTGACTTACGTAAGCAGTCTATTAAGTAGGCTTCAAGGGATCATAGACCCCCTAATCTAAGGGCTGCATTTCACATGGGAGTGCTTCACAGTTGGTGGCCGAGATAATCAGTACATTCATCCTTGTCTTCACCGGATGCGGTGCTGTCATGGTGAATGAGATCAGTAATGGCAAAGTGACATCCGTTGGAGTGTCTCTTGCTTTCGGGCTTGTTGTCACGATTATGATCTATGCAGTTGGCCATATCTCGGGTGCGCATATGAATCCTGCAGTGACGCTAGCGTTTGCCGTTGCGAGACACTTCCCCTGGACCCAGGTTAGCACCGAAATCTTAACTCGTGCTTCTCTAACGACATTTTGTTCCAGTGCTCCTCACGTTATCTTAGCATTTGAATTATTTTTTGTATTTATCGTTACAATTGGAGATAATACATGCTGGACTCGAATCTAAGCTTCAGCGATGACAAGCCCATTGGAGCTTAGCAGTGGGGCTTATTTGTTGAGGTTTTCTTGGGAGTATCAGGTTCCATTGTACGCGGCTGCACAGTGTATCGGATCTATAACAGCATCATTCATGTTACGGTGGATCCTCCATCCAGCAGCCTACGAAGGCGCTACATTGCCTACGGGGAGTGACGTACAGTCATTCCTTCTGGAGATCGTCATCACGTTCATTCTGATGTTCGTCATTGCTGCTGTCTCCACCGACACCCGAGCAGTAAGATCAAAAGAATCCGTCTCATAATTACAGCGATGATTATTATTACTGTTATTATCCATGTTATCATTCTCTAAAATATGGTTCGTATTACTACTTTGATCATTACGACACCAAAGCACTCGCAAGTTGATTAAGCCTCTGGGAGGGGGGGGGGGTTTGCGCAATGCACTCGGTTCACGATGATGAGAACTTGAAGTTAACCAATTGCTGCTCTTTGTCACAATTTCAGTGTGGAGAATTAGCTGGAATCGCCGTTGGTTCAGCGGTTGCCTTAAACGCGCTCATGGCCGGGTACTTCAACTCTCTTCTGCAGTCAGCTGCCTGCACTGTTCTGTAGCTAAAACAACTATTAGGATGGATTGAGTCTACGTCTACAGCGCAAATTTGCTAAAAAAAAAGTACCGACGCCAAATTGAATGAATCTATGTTATGTGACAGGTCCATATCGGGGGCGTCGATGAACCCAGCGAGGTCACTGGGTCCAGCTACAGCCTCAGGGAATTATCACTCCCTGTGGGTGTACATGGCTGGTCCCACAATCGGAGCTCTCATGGGGATGCTCACATACAACTGCATACGCCTACCAAACCAGGCAATGCAATGCGCCTGCAACAAACCAGCGAAAAGCTTCCGCCGCTGATGCCAACTCAAAGCCGAACCTCATGGTACCCATGTTCTTCTGACGGAAGAATAAGACGTTGTCGATGATCGCTAATATCTAGATTTTCACCACCGCGTGAGTTTTCGATCGGAATAGTTGTGAATCTGCCACAGCAAAGGATATCATGAGCTGCCGCATGGTATATGAGCTTTACCATGCTGTCCATATCTAGACATATACAAACCGACCACGGTAGTCACAAATGTGTTTGTCTTCGCCTCACACACAGATTCATGACCTCGGAGGAACCCACCTGCAAACAAATCCTTGCAAACTTGTGCAAGCTCCGAAGCTTCGTTGTGTCGGTCTGGACCTGCAAATTTCAAGTGGAGGATTTCCTTGGATCCAGCTTTCAACCAGGCTGAGATTCTTTCACATTTCCAATGCTAGAAATGCAACCTGGTCATGTTGGCAGTTTCTTGCTACGACGTGGGTGTTGCTCAAAACCCTAAACCGTAAACTGAAACGAGGCTACTTCTTTTTTGTTACGAATACAGTGTAACAAGTGAATGTTTTAATATCAGATGTGGTCACCTTTGGAACTATGAACAGTGTTATAGCAGTAAAATTTTAGTTCCTGCAGTGTAAATAAAACCTGTGTTGAAAACAATAATTATTTAATTAATTACGTGTGAGAGGGTTAGAATTTTTTAATGCTAAAGAATCAACTATAAAGTTGTTTGTATCAGAAACAATGTTATGGTTATGTTGATCAAAAGGTTTAGGGCTATAACCAATATAATAACTTATTTAGAATCACATAATATCATAGAATGATATCCTAATGAATTGCTGCTTAGTAATAAATAAGTTTGCAGTGGAAATTTCAATTGTAAAATCTCCACTTATACAGTGAAAATTGAAACACAAAGGTATCAACGTTATTGCAAGAAAATGATAATAAAATATAATATTCTTTTCACACAGTAATCATGTACTGAATGTCATTTTGATTTGCAAAACAACAATACAATGTTGTATTATATCTTTACTTACTATAGGAAAATAAAAGAAAAAAAAATAGTTAAAATCAAGTAAGAAATATTTTTTATAATTAATATACATTTATATATACATAATTAAATTTATATATATATATATTTCTTAAAAAATATATAGAAAATAATAAATTTATAGATAAATAAAAATATCATGTAACATTTTTGAATAAAAAAACATAATATAAAATCTTAACAAATTCATAACAAATAATCATAATTGAATTATACTTGTATTATATGCATCTATGCAATTTTAAAGTATAGCAATGAATTGGAGTGTCATAACAATAGTTTTTGGAATTCATTTTATAGATCTTTGGATTAATATTAATGATTTTAGTAAACACAATAACAAAGAAAAATTACTATGTGACAAATTTTAGATATGAGTAAGAAGCTTATAATCCAGAGTGTTATGATAGAGATTCAACTAAAGAATTTAGATGTCTAAATTATAATGCTTATACAAAACTTGGTATGTAAATAAATTATAATTATTATGAATGTTTAATATAATTAATAATATATTTGTAAGTTAATATGCTTAGTAGACAAAAATAACATCACTTAACAAAAGATACCATATTACTAAAATGAATGCCCAAGGTCTAAGATTATAGTACAATAGTAGTATAATGTAGACTATTCTTTGCTTCATCACCTACTACTACTACTTCCACCAATACTTACTTTGCACTTTTTTTTTATGATAATAAAATAAAAAATAAAAATCTAATAATAGAAAAAATAAGATTATTTCAAAGGTCAATAATATTAATTTAACTTGCTTACTTAATTCACTTATCTCTATCTAAAGTTCAGAGCATTATACAAGCATACAACTATAGAAGAAGATCTAAAGCAACTATGCAAATATAACAAAGTAGGCAATGTGCAATGCAATGAAATAGATGTGTTGTTTGTCTCTTGAAATATCTTATGATAAATTTATTAAATTTATTGAATCTAACTTAAATTTGTATCCAAAAAATAAAAAAAAATGTATATTGAAACATGATAGATGTAATACTTGTCTTTTAAAGTATTCTATGCTAAATTTCTTGAATTTTTCTAATATAATTTGAATCTATCTTTATTATATTTGTCCAAAAATGTTTAATAATTTTTTTATATTCTTAAAAAGGATTTAAAAATTAGAGAGATAATTATTAAAGTCAAAGAATCTAAGGTAGAAATAGAAGGAGTTTTGTACATGAGCTAAGAAGAAGTTTTGGCTTTACAAAGCCTCTTCACAATCTACCTTGAGCAATATGCTAAAGAATTATAAGAATCTTAAGGACATGCAATTGGTGTAACTTTAAATAAGAAAAAAAACACATTATTTATTTATCCAAGTTAGATAAGGCATTGACAAATTGAGTCTTTTAACAACAAGCAAGTAAAGAAGTAGTGACAAGAGAGCTAGTAATAAAAGAGCTTGTATATTAAAAAATGTATTACTTTATTAGATTTTTTAATATCAACAAAAAAAAAGGTCTTTGAATTTTTGGATGAATATCTTTTATGCTTCCAAAAATATTTTTCTTTAAATCATTCAATTTAGTTAGAGAAAGTACATCAATTGATATTTTTTTTGCCTCATTGCTTCTCACTTTGATAGAAAAGGTCTTAAAGTATCTTCTAAGAGATATATTTAATATAGATAATAGAAACCTCTATTTTTTAATGGCATATGATTATACAATTGCATGGAAGCAAATCAAAGAAATAAAGATTAACAAAGCTTGCCTTATAATAAAATTGACAATGTATACAACTGTAAGTAAAAAATTGGAATTTCTTATTATTGATAATGCAATGAAGCCTCATTACTTTATTAAAAAATTAAACAAAGATATGAAATTTTATTATTAAATTAATAAAAAATATAAATAATTGTGATATTATTTTACAAATAGTTGGATGATCTTCAAAAAATATGAAAGCTACAACCTACAAGATTCTATTCTTTTTTAACTTTTCATCATTCTATGGAACAAACAAATTAAATCTCAAGTATATTAGGATTGTATTGTGTCTTTCCAATATGATATGAAAATTATAGCCAATGGATGCTAGCATAAATATCACTTTCAAGTGATATTATTAATACTTTTAATAATAAAATATAATTTCTAAAAAAACAAAAAAAAACAAAAAAAAAATAAACAGATGATTAGAAGATTGATTAATTAACATTGATTTATTGCTTGGAATTGTTTAGATTTTAATTCTTGCATCAACAATTTTCAATTACTTTTAGCACATATAGTTATTTATTTCTTTTTTCTGAGAATTTCAATATGATAAGGATGAATATATCATTAATAATAAGTTCATTAATAGTATCTAAAGACTTCAAGCCTACAACCAAATATTAATATAAGTTCTTTTCAACCTTGTTGCATAAACTTTAATAGAACATAAGTAGCTATTTGAAAATAAATTGCTAATAAATGGTAGAAATAGGGAAGTTAAAGACAAAGATGAAGAGCTAGAAGTTGAGTTACAACACATGGTGTCCAAAACAGAAGAGTTTTTTGCCTTCTATGTTATAATCGAGCTCCTTAACATTACAAAGTACATGCATTTTTTAGTGTACATGGTGTCAAAAGGCCTCTTATACAAGCAAAGTATTTTTACCTATAATAAACTACTATAGCTCAATAAATTATTAGTGAGTAGTTCCAAAAAAATAGATAAGTGTTTATTCTAAATAAATTGCAAAAATATTATTTTTGTTTGTCAATATACGTCTTTGTTTGAGGTAGGTTGCATTACATAGTATGGTCTTGAAATAAGTTCACTTTGTAAGAATAATTAAGTTGTATTGCCTACTTGAACTATCAAGTAATTGGAAGGTAACAATATAGATGTAATTTGGTTGTAGATGTCTATAACTTGTAGGAATGAATATCCATCATGGGACTTTTTTTCTTAAATTCTAAAATTTAAATCTTATAAGAATAAAGACAATTGTTGTAATATTGATGAATAAGATTTTTTTTCCTTTCTCTTCTTAAATACTACAATTATTGCATGATTGCAACGAAGTAGAATTACCATTTGATAATTTTTATTCAATCTTTTAGTAATCAAAATTTGTAACTTATTCAATCAATATTTTAGTAATCAAAATTTGTAACTTATTCATTCCATCTTTTAGTTTCAACATTTGGCTTTAAAAAAAACATCTCTAATAGGTTTAAGAAAGAGACATGAAGTTAAAATATTAAAGATGTCATAGTTGCAATATACACATAATGTATATAATCTTAGTATATATAATGTTAAAAGGCTTCCAACAAAAGTTATGTATCTTCAATTTATTGTAAACAGCAATAGATGCTCTGCTACAACAACCTTCTATAGTTTGTTAAATTATTAATAATATATTAAATAACAAAAAAAATATTGAATTACTTCTATAGAATGAATTTAATTAAGACAAATAATATTAAGCAATAAAGTTTATTAAGTTACAAAGAGATTATTTTATATAAATCTTATTTAGATTAATTATATTAAAAACTTTAAGTACTTCAAAATTAAAAAATAAAAAATAAAATATTAATATAATAATAATTTAAAATATTAATATCTTATTTCTTTGATAATAATTTATTTTAAATATATATATATATATATATATATATATATATATATATATAAATTTTTTAATAAATAAAAATAAAGCCAAATGGTTTAAATTTTTTAAAAAATAAAATAAAAAAGATAAATATTAGTTGAATCTATTATATTTTTTAAAATGACATTAAGCTTCTAATTTTGTACAGCAAAAAGACTAGTCTTATACCCAAGAACTTGGAAATTTTTTATATATAATACAATTGAATAGTTGTTGTATAAATAAAGATTGTTATAAATAGGAGATAGAATATTAGAAACATCATGAAGTATGCAATCAAAAACTAAATAAGAATACATAACAAATATTCTAAAGTGCCTCCACTTTGTTGATTAAGGTAAGAAGAACATATCAATCTTAGATAGAATTCAAGAAACTTAATAATCATCCAAAATATCATCGATTTTGTATTAAGTGAATCAATTGATTTTAAAAAGTGTTGTAATCAACATGTAAGATAATGTCAATTTGATCCAAATTCAATGGAGTTGACAAACAAAAGAACCTAAAGCGACAAAATTTAGAATGATTGGAGAACCAAGAAATTAATTAATATATTATTTAGCCTCTAATTAGTAAATATATTACCTTGCTATCATAATTCAAAATGATTCTTGATGTGGCTAATTTTAAAAGCCATTTTTAATATTAAAAAAAAAAAGATCTTTACCAAATAACTCTCAACAAATACAATACTTGATTCCATTGCAAATTGTGCTAAAAGGATACTACATAGTGTATAGTGTGTCTTTTGTTTGACATCAAAAGTTATAAATGTATTGCATTTGATTACATCTAAAGCATTGAGTTTTACTCTCCAACTATTTAATAAAGTCTTGAAGTGACTCAAAAAGATGGTAGTTTTTTTATGACAAACAAATCTACCTTCATAGCTTGACCTATTTGTAATAATATAGATAAGTTGCTACTATTTGAAAACACTCTTAATTCTATAATCTTTCTTTTTTATTTTTTAGAGGATGTTCTAATATTTTTTAATTCAATCTCCATTCTTCACTATAGAAATCAAATAAAGAATAATATCTTCTTTGAGAAAAAATATAAAATTTATTATAGTCTTCTAATATTGCTCCAACTTTTGTAATTGAAGTAAATTTTTTTAGTCCATCTTTTATATATTTGGAGCACCTTAGGCTCTAAATGATGTAAAAATAATTCAAATGCATAATCATCATTAAAAAAGAAAAATTTAGGTATTTTTTTATCCAAGTTTAAAATTTTAACTTTAAATTTAGCAAAAAAATGCTTTTAACTTATCATAGGAATTGATTTCTTACTATTCTATAATGATTGTCTTCCATCTTGTGAAACATATCTATATTCCAAATTCAAAACCTCGTAGTGGTATTCAATGGTGAACACACTTAAAAGCCTCATCAATATCTACAACTAGTCCAAAGTCATTGATATAATCATGTTCTAAGTAATCTAATAAAAAATATTGATAATATTAACTTTTGGTCTACACCATAAATTTAAAAAAACTGCTTTGATATCTACAACTATTTAATGGCTTAAAGCCAATCTACACCTATACTTGCAATTACCACCAATCTTTGCAATTCACTAGTAATTACCTTCAAGTCACTACAAATTCAACAAATACCTTCTACTTGATGCAAATAGGAAGATTCCACTAACCATCAATTTGACCTTATCTCTTTAATATGCCTATAAACATAGTACAATACAAAATTAATCAATAAAAATCTTTGGCAATAATGCATACAACTAAGAAAAGATCTTGGAGGCAATAGTCCAAAATCCAAACCAAATCTTCATTCCAATAATATATAAACAAAATTCATAAGTAAATTAAAGCAACCAACATCTACATATAAATGATAGATGATAGATGATAATAAAGAGAGATGAAAAATACAAGATAAATAGAGATAGGATTGCCACCACTTGCTACTACAAGTTGTCCTTGCCTACCACAACATACGGTCGTAGGCCATAGATTGCTACTACAAAGAACTTCCTTTCAAAGTTGATGCTGCCAAACTCAAAGTCTTGTTTCTACCTTTACTTTGCAATCCAAATGCATCCCTCACATCTACAAACCTTGCAAAGTAAGAAACACCTTTCAACACAAAAGTACAAGTCAATGTGATGAGATTCAAGCAAATGCTATTATATCATCTAGTTCAAATTGTTACAAGAGTCTCCACTTCCTACAACCTCTTCAAGTATTTGTTCTACAAAAAAAAAAAAAAAAAAAAAAAAAAAAAATGCATTAATTGCATCCTCTCCTATTGATGATTGCTTCAATGCACACTTCTAATTCAACCACACATTTGATACATTATAAATCTTTCTACTTCATATGTACAATTTTATATTTTTATTTTTTTATTTTTTTATTTTTTAATAAAAGGAAGGACAAAGCTTATACAACTCTACCTACTTAAGCTAATCTACTATTGCGCAATACATCAATCCAATCAAAAAGCACTGTCTAAAACAACTAGCTACAAGAATTTGATAAATGCAACCTCCTCTTAAATAATAAGGGGCATATGTAATAAGGATTAATCTAGTAAGTAATACTAATTAATACCTAAGATGTCATCCCTTCCTTTCTATACTATCTTATTAGAAAGTGCTACACGAATATTTGAATAATTCCAACTCCATAATAGTCTTTAGTACCACATTAGTCTCTAGTTCAACAACTCAATGCCATATTATATCAGCTTCTAGTACTATACCATACCTTAGGACTACATGAGCAACCATCAACCTTAACATATAAAACAATATCTAAAAGCAATAGTGCAAAACAATAATTCTTGTACAATCCACAAAAATTGAAGAAGAAAGAATTCTTTTTCATTTATTCCTTTTCAATAACAAGATCAACTAACATATAATATTAAGTAGATGAAAATATATTAAATTAAAGCAAGGTACATCTATCTAACATGGTTTGTCACCTAATGCCATATCACATTACATAGTCTATTTATTATAATTGTAGCTATCATAATTTTTTGCTTGTGTTAAAAGTAGAAATAATTGGTTATAATCATTAATTGGAACTATTGAGATTTAGAATGTATCAATTAAAAAATAAATATATACTTACGTGTTCATTTATTAATTTTTAATTTTTAATTTTTAAGTTAATTTAATTAATAAAATATAGTTTCAAACTTAACAATGCTCAAGACTAAATGCAACTAAATTCAAATGTAAATACATACATACACCTTTTTAAATAGTAAATTAATTATATTGATTTTTTTTTGTACTACAATTTAAAATACAACCATTTATTGGCAAATAAGTTCAAAACAATCAAAACTTAAATAACATCCATTATATATAATCAAAATTAGGTAGCAACTTGAATTAATATAATCTTAAGAAAATTTGTAGCATACATTTTATTATAAAAGTTGTACAATACCTCTCCAAATGACTTGCAACCATGTTTCTAGCCTTGATATTATCCTTCATTCACACATGAATCTATACAAGACTCTTATTGATTGAAATTACTCTAATATGTATTGTTATTGAGTTTTAGTATATTTGCTTTGGCATTGATAATGACAATGATATATTACATATAATCAAACAATATTAATTTCCTCTATATTATTTCAATACTAATATTTATATAATCACTTAATGCTTGTTTTACAAATTGTTTATAACTAACTCACATTGCTTGTACTTCAACAAATAAGATCCTTTACAGAAATTAAATCTAATTTTTTAAATGTAGATTTGATTTTTTTAATTCGTTTTAAAAGTTTCTAATGAGTTTTTATTATAATTGGATTAATTTTTTCACTTGTTTAAAATATTTAATTATAAAAAAGTACAACCAATTTGATGTTATTTACATATATATTTTTTTTATTTGTCTGATAAATTTAAGAGAATTATAAAGTTTTATTAGTTAATAAACACGTAAAAATTAACGCTCTGAATTTTCTTTTTCTCTTTCTTTTTTCCTTTTCTTTTGATAAGTTTTTTATCAAAGAAATTTTAAATTAAATCTACAAAGTTAAATAAGAGTTGAAGCAAAGAAAACATCTGTACACAGATTACCAAACAAAGAGATAGATTAAAATGAAAATAAATAAAGCAAGCATGATACCATAAATCAAATGTAGTAAAATAAATTGTGATATCATAGATAATTAAAAAAAACAGGAAAACTTCAGCTAACAATGAAAAAAGTAAATTTAAGTGACTTTGAATATAATTTTAGAAACTTTTAATAGAAGTATCAAGCCAAATATTAATAAATAATAATAACAATAAAAACAGTGAATAGATTAAAGCACCACTTATTCCAAGAAAAGACTGTCATATTATGGTCTACAAAATAATATTTTGAGTTGTTTTTACTTTTTAAAATAATTACAAAGTCATATTTTCAACTTATGTGAATAAAAAATGAAAATAAAAACTAAAACATATTTCTAATCTAATAATGTTCAAGTTTAAAAAACTTGATTAGTCCTGTGAGATGCATATATGTACAAGGACTTTTGGCATTTAAAAAATAATTAAGAAAGAAAGGTGGTCAACTTAATATTATAGATATTAAATATTGGGAGGTATTCAAGTTGTAATTTAAAATACCAAATATTTCATGTACTTATCTGCAGACATGTGCAAAGTACTTGCTATTGTGTGGTTTTAAAAATATTTCATAAAAATCCTCTTATATTTTTAGTTTGCAGAAGTTATGTGGGTTTTATCTGAAGTTTATCAATATGTATCGTCTGGAGATATATATTATTTTGGAATCTCAAAACATGATAAAAGCTTGTTCGTACGAATAGGAAGTAGTCAAATTGAACTACCAGGCTATTTACGAAAGCTAATTTCCAAATGTTAATGAGGCATTTTTTGTAATCGATTACTCTTCTTTTCTTCTTTATTCAGTGTCCACTTGACCCTGCTGACCTATGCATGTACATTACGAACCAAAGCGTTTTAGATCCTTTATTAACAACCCCAACAAATCCAGCAGCACCATTTCAGATTTTTAAACCAACGCTATCGTGACACCAAAGCTTCAATATGATGCAGACTAAGATAGTTCAAGATTATGACTGCAGGGCTTAGAAGAAATGGACTTGGAAAGATATACGCTTGGTGCATAGCTACCATCGGAAAGAAGTGAAGCAGATGAAACTGGGTTCTGTCCTGCAATGTAGGACTGAACTCGGAGTACACTAAAAAGATGTGTACATTTGTGTTAGTGATTACCACTAAATACATGGCTACAGTTAAGTGATTTCAATTACCTTGGCTAAAGTGGTATACTATGCTATGAGAAGAAGCGTTTCCTTTTCGACCACATTCGCTTACCAAGAACGGATGCAGTCACAGCCGCTTCTTGCTGCGAAATTGTGGATGGTGACGCAGAAGGAACTCCAGCACTCGACTTCTTGCTGCTTGTCCTGGGCACTTCCGTAACCTCAAATTGTCCATGAGACAACTCCATGCCCAGCTTGAGATTGATCCAAACCCTCAAGGAATGACCAAGTTGAATGATTCTCTTTTTCTTCCACGACTTGAGGAATTCTAACATAGAGGGTTCAACACGTAGAAGAATCTGAGGCCATGTAGAGGCATCAGAACTTACATCTGGATGATCAGCAAGGACACGTCGAATTGCACGTTCAATCTTGGAAAGAGTTGTTTCCAAAGCCTCCACACGTCCAGTGCCTTTACAACAAGCGCATGAAGAATGGATAGTATATGTTACACTTGGCCGGACTCGCTTTCGAGTCATTTCCATTAGTCCATATTCTGATATTTCAGATATACTAACTTTGGATCGGTCCCTTTGTATCGCCCTCCGCATCTCCTCGTACACCAACTTCTCATCCTCGTGGTTATCCATATCAATGAAGTCTACAACTATTATGCCCCCTATATCACGCAGCCTTATCTCGTGAGCTATCTGCTTAGCAGCAGCTAAATTCACGTTCAGAATTGCCTCTCGTTGTTTCATGGAATGTCCGAGCATCCCTGTGCCACCGTTCACATCAATAGATACAAGAGCTTCAGTCTCCTGCATTACGAGGTAGCCACCATTCGGAAGTTTTACCCGTTCGCTAAAGAATTTGTCCAGGTCTGATTCAACGTTGAACTTATCAAAAATTGGCACTTTCCCGCTATAAAGGACCACCCTGTTCATCAAATGTGGAGCTACTTCTTGAAGATAATTTATCACTTCCTGGAAACTCTGGGCTGAGTCAACCACTACCCTAGAAACTTTCTCTGTAAAAAGATCGCGTATAATTGTTAATGTCTGCCCCATCTCTCTATGCAAAAGTACTGGAACAGCAGCTTCTTCTCCCCTCTCAACAGCCACTGCAGCAGCTGCTGCCTTCTCCATTATTTCTTTCCATGCGTCCATCAGGCGTGTGAGATCTCTTTCTAACTCTTCTTGTTCATGACCAATAGCCTCGGTCCGGACCGTGATCCCCAAGTCTTCAGGTTGCAATTTCTGAGCTAAAAGCTTCAATCTTCGTCTCTCAGGCCCTGCAATTGATACATGAAATCTTAAGAAAAGCTACAATCATTTGAAGGTACAAGACCAACATGTATACACGAGTTATGAAAAACAGATCAAAAGGAAGTTGACAACCTTGTATTGCACTCACGCGTATTACATAAAATAGCTGAAAAACAGTACAAAGCCTGTGTCCACTGCAACTCAAATGTGTTTTCATCCTTGTCTATGATTGAGAGGAAAAAACATTATGGCGAATATTAAGAAGAATAGATAACCAATCAAAAAGTATACCTGTGATACGGGCAGAGACTCCTACTGAATTTCCTCGAGGTATGAGAACCCAAAACCTTCCAGCAAGAGAAGGAAAAGCAGTAAGCCTGGGTCCCTTTTTCCCCATTGATTCCTTCTTCACTTGCACTATGATAGGCATTCCTTCTTCCACATTCCGCCATTTGCTAAATTTACGCCCAAAATTTACGGTTATTGGGCTACCCTGCCTGTGTGGCTCCCAAGCCTTTGATAATTTTTTCACTTGCACCTTCTCTTCTGGTGAATCTTTGAAATTCTCAGCCTCTCCGGAAACTCTATCCACTACAATACTCCTCGCAATTCCTTCTTCGTAAGGTTCCTCGTCTTCATCTTCGTCTTTATTATCTTCTTCATCTTCTTCTTCTTCTTCTTCTTCTTCTTCTTCTTCTTCAGTGAAGTTGGCGTCCTCATCAGATAAATTAAGGTCCACGTCCTGTAGTGAACCTCCGCTAACTGAATCGGTCGAAAGATGGTTCCCAGACCCACAAACGGGTGGAAATGTATAAGGATATTGATTCCGTGCTATGTCAAGAAGGGCTAAACGTGGACCACCAATGTCAACAAACACCCCAGACATTCCAGGTAATAATTGCTTCACCCTTCCCAAGTAAATGTTGCCCACTTGAACTTTTGTGTTGACGGGTTCGATGGAGAATTCCACAACTTTTTTGTTCTCGAGAATAGCCATCCGTTGCATAGTACACTCGGAGGTGTTTATTAAGATCTCAACCTCCACCTCAGGTTCCTTCTTCACGTCTGCAGTATCTGGGCGCAAGTAATTATCACCGACCGGAGACAGTTTTCTAGGTTCCTCGATGATTGCCGGAGCCTCGCTTACTTCCTGGTTTTGTGTAGACTGAGCTTCTCTTAATGATTCTTCGTCCATCTCCGTAGCTATTATTGACTCCAAAAGCCAAGGCTCCTCCGTAGGCTTTACCAGCATTAGCATCCTTTCCTTGGACCACTGATCAGGAGTTTCTGAAGGTGACATTTGGAACTGAGGTTGCTGTCTCCCAGAACAGTAAACAGTTAGCCAGAGATATTTATCAAACAAGAACAAAGACAAACAGAGAAAAAATTACTAACGTGATTGGTTGCTTCACCAAATAGATGCTGGAGAGAATTAAAAAAAAGAAAAAAAGAAGATAAGAACAACGTCCATTTTTTTTTGCACCCAAATGCAAGAGGAAGGACGTTTCAAACAATCTTAGAATTTCGAGAAGGGAACTAGTATCGCCAACCAATCTGGATGCACTAAGCGGGAACTGGTTGTCTCGACACGTATACGTCAGAATATGTTAGACCCAAAAGAGACGAGGAAATTTTTGCGTTCACCTTAACGTATCTTCCGGGCTTCTCTGTCTCCGCAACACTACGAGTTTCTCTGTGAAGGGCATCTGAGTCTCCATTCCAATTATTGAGATCTGTGCTCTTTTCAGCTGATTCCTTGATTTCAATCATCTTTGTATCCTCAAACACTGGCTCCTGCGAGACTGCACAAGATTAAACATGTTATTTTTAACAAGGATAAGAAAGCAAAGATTTAGAGTGCATCATTTTCTTCTCGAGGGTAATGATGCTTCAAAGGAGTGTCTCATAAGCAAAACTAATAATAAAACATGAATCACGTGAAAGGGTACACTAAACTAGGGCACTAATCACAATGACAAAGAGTATTCGAATAGTCGAACTTGCCAGTAGCAAAAATCGTAACACACCTAAAAATCTATCTCATCCTCTGACTATTACGCACTTCTTGTTTGTAATACTCAACGAAGTGCACACATCACCCATTGTAACTACACTGAGTAAGAACACATAAAGAAGCATATTGCAACGTGCTGATATCTGACCAATCAAGACTGAATATTGAATCAGACCACTAACGTATATAATAGACGTAAACCTGTAGTAAGAATTTGAATACCTTCCTTGCGCTCTGCAATATCTTGAAACGAGATAGAAGCTTGAGATTTCGCCTGTATTTCATCCCACCACTGGGGTCCCCAAGTAGGAGCCGGAAACTGTACTCTAGATGATCCCTCAATGTCTTTTACCTCTCCACTTTCAGACGGAGTATCAGAGCCCTCGCTTTCGCTCTCGATTGCAGCCTGTGCAGTAACCTTCTTATTTGATTCACTCTGTCGTTTCCTTCTGCTTCTCCTCTTTGGGGGAGAAACATCCGCAGCACATACAACATCCGCACCTGCAAATGGTTCTTTGAGTTCCGGAGGGGTATGCAAAACTGACTCATCTTGATTGATAATTGGATGTACATGTACTCCCGCAGTTTCATCATCTTCTGAACCACTACTTGATACTGTCTCACTATCTGTTGTTTCAACTAATAATACAGATTGTGCAACCTGTGCCTTATCTACGGTGTTGTCATCCAAATCTGCCACAGCTCCTGGCTTTTTTCTAGGTTTCTTTGCCCGCTTCAACTTCTTCGGTTCACCATTTTCTTTGTCAGTTTGAGCGTCTGATTTCGTTTTAGAATCGACGGGAGTAAGTCCACCAGCATGTCCCTCATTCACAACTTCTTCAGAGATTTTACCCGATTTCTCATCTCCCTCAAGTCTTTCCACTTCACCATTGATACTTGACAATGCGGTTACTTGGCCTATGGTGTGTAATTCCTCATCACCTAAAAGCTTCACGTCTTGGGCCTCCTGCCCTCTCTTTCTTCTTGACCGAGGTCTCTTCTTAGTTTCCTTTTTCTCAATGCTTGGTTGTGCGGCCGGGATAGAACCGTTGGTGACACTCCGTACTTCTGAATTCCGTATTCTGTCTCCATGAATAAGCTCATTGTCAACATTTGTGGAAGAATTCAAAGAAGCATCCTTCGCAGATGATTCCGCACTAGAGATGGAATTTGAGCCTCCTTCGTTCATGGACGTTGCAACGCTACCATTCGGAGCCGCTTCCTGACTATTGGAATTGACATTCTTTTTTCGTCTCGATCCGCCTACAGAAATAACAGGGGATTCCACTTCTCTATCACTAATCTCCAATGCTTTGCCGTTAACATCCACTCCTGCTTCACTAGCCTGGCCTGCTTGGGCAGGTTTGGAATTCGCACTGCTGGCAGATACAGCTGCTCCATCTCTTTTAGCTGAACTGCGCCTACGCCTGCGGCTCCCAGTCGTTGCATTGGCGCCCTGAGATGCAGACACGGATTCTTCTGCTGCACCATTCGTGCTCACCACCCTAGACTTATCTACAATTTGCTGCGAAACCTCAATTTGTGCGTCCTGTCCCTCGCTCAATGTAGGAGAACTTTTCACCTCTGAAACTTTCTTTCTCCTACCCCTCGAAGCACTTTTCCTCTTCGGAACCGGGTTCTCCGAACTCAACGGAGAACTTTGCTCAGAACTTGATTCACCTCCATCAACCACGTCCACACACACTACGCTGCCTTCTGAAGGCGCAAGGTGAACTGGCTCCTGACCTTCCAACGCCTCCTCCACCGCCTTCACGGGTCTATTCCTTCTCCTCCTCGATTTCGAACCAGGCTTGGCCTCCTCCAGAGCTCGAACAACGCCATTAGTCGCACGACATTGACCCGACCCGCTAGCCAGAAACCCTCCCCTAAAAATTCGCACATCATTCCACCTGCACAACGCGCGCACCCTCAAGCTCGACAAGGGAGCCAAACAAATCCGCCTGCAGCTAACCGGCAATCCACCGCGCCATGAAATCGCCGGATACACGGCAACCACAGAAGGGAGAGACATCGACCCGGCCATAGACTAAGACGACAATGCAGTGGCAGCAGCTGGCGGTACATGCCATACCCTCGCCAGCTACGCCTCTCAATCTCTCCTACCTCAACGCCATATCCTAAATCCACAAAACACCTTAGACGGCCTTCTACACCGCAAAACTAATCCCCGAAACAATCCACCACAGCTAAATTTGCAAACAGTTCCATGCCCGCTGCAATTCCCAAGCTTCTGACGCACCAAACGACACCGCGAAAGCGCCGCGAAGAAGAGGAACGAGGCTTCTTCCTACAGTACTCTGAACTGTGTTTGCTGCTGCTTCGCAATACGACGCAGACATGGCGAGGAAACCGAAATCGTAGCTGGAACGGAAATCCTGCAACAAAGGTGAAGAAGGGCGGGTTTTGGCACACGGCATGGTTAGGGTACCGGGATTTGGATCAGATGGGAACCAAGGTCTGGTCACCATGTGCGGGGATCGGTAACCGTGTGGGTATCTGTCACCGTATGTGGGCATCGGTGACCGTGCTTCCCTATTACAACTCTTGTCGGCTTTGGTGATGGGGGTTCGTTAGGCCACACGGTAATTCGCTTAAGTTGACAATAGAGACCTCGTTTTTTTGATGAGAATGGCAAAGACTATTGAATACACGATGTTGGGTTTGGTTTTTTTATAATTATAATTGGGTGGAATTTCTTTTAGATGTTGGTGGTGTTATATATATTTTGTGGACGTAATTTTTTTCAAATAAACAAATGAATACTTGTCTAAGATTTGTTATTGAGATTAAATAATTCAAATTTATTTTTCCTTAATGTATGTTCATTTTTTTTAAATTTTTCTAAAATTTATAATACAATTTATTATAATATTTGTAATATTTATTAGTAATTTTATTTTTAATTATATTATAAATTAGTATTTTAAATTTATAATTACAAATTAATTATAAACTTAATTAATTTATAACTGTTATTTTAAATTCATAATTTAAAATTACTAATACAATTGTAATTATTTTAAATTTATAATACAATTTATTATAATATTTTTAATGTTTAGAATATTTGTAATATTTATAATATTTGTAATATTTATAATATTTGTAATATTTATAATATTTGTAATATTTATAATATTTTTAATATTTATGATATTTGTAATATTTATAATATTTGTAATATTTATAATATTTGTAATATTTATAATATTTGTAATATTTATAATATTTGTAATATTTATAATATTTGTAATATTTATAATATTTGTAATATTTATAATATTTGTAATATTTATAATATTTGTAATATTTATAATATTTGTAATATTTATAATATTTGTAATATTTATAATATTTGTAATATTTATAATATTTGTAATATTTATAATATTTGTAATATTTATAATATTTGTAATATTTATAATGTTTGTAATATTTATAATATTTGTAATATTTATAATATTTGTAATATTTATAATATTTGTAATATTTATAATATTTGTAATATTTATTGTAATATAAATAGATATTAACAATAAATATTACAATATTTATTATTACAATTATAAATGTATATGCTCTATTGGAATTAAAGATATAAATTCCATAAAGGATATTTTAAATTTAAAAAAAAATAAAAATAAAAATAAAAATAAAAATTATTAATCATGAGTATTTTTTTGAAATTAAATTAATGAATATAAAAATAGAAATAAAGGTTGACTTGGTAATTATTAATCTTATTTTTGACATTAATTGGAAAGATATTTTGTCCAAAGTAACCACCAAATTTATAAGAAACAAAATTAAAGAAGACAAGACAAAAAGACCAAATACCTTATGATATAAAATTACAACATCTTCCTAAAGAGTCTACAACCCATCAATTTGGAATTAGCAAAACTCTTAAGATTAGTTTGATTAAAATTGGCAATTAACTCCAATAGGTTCTTAAATAAGTTGAATATGAACCAACATATTATTTTAACAATTACAATACAAATAACTTGCAATAGCAAATGATAGAAGTTGAATGAAATCTTGATCAAAGAGAATTTTTCACTAACTAACTGTAAGTTAAACTTTGTTTTGGTCATTTTTTAAAAAATAATAATAGAAATAATAATAATAATAATCTAAAAATAATCAGTTTAGATGAGACATAAGATTTTAATAAGGTTGGCAAAACACCAATTATAAGAAAATTCCTTTCATCCAAGTTTATTATACACTTATATTACCTCTATTTAATTACGATGGCTAGCCAATTGCATAAGTGGCTACTTTACTACTTTATTCTAAGTTGATTTGTTCTAATCTAAGAATCTAATTTTTAAGTGGATTAGATATGTCCCACCCCCCTTGGATTTCTTATCTTGATCCTACTTGATTCGAGTTACTTGGTTTGAGTTTGTCTATTATCTAGACCATATTGGTCTAAGTTTGTCTATTATCTTGTTCCTATTAGTCCTAGTCTAATGCCAAGTTAATCAAGCCAATTAATCATGGTGTAATTAGAAATCAGTAAAATGTGTAAGTTTGCAATTGAAATTCTACACATGATAATAAATAATTGAAACTAAAGAAGTTATCTACTATTATTGTGCAAGTTTAAAAATTTTATTCCTTAGAATTTTAAAATTCAATCAATCATATTCAAATACAAAAATAAATAAATAATGCATTTAAATATAATCTGTTTCCTGGAGGACTATTTATTAAAAGTGTAGTTTTTTAAAAACCTTAAAAGCCATGTAATTCTCTGAATCTCAGTAGATATTTATAGCATGAGTTTGGTGTCTTTTTTTAGTAATAAGTGTCATGATAAGTGGTTTTTAATTTCAAGCATAGAATTTTAGTTAAGTTTTAGTGTTTTGAAATGTACATAAACTTTTTTCCTTTTTTTTTTCCAGAATTTCTAGCAAATTTATGCATTCAAATCTCCTATGGTAATTTTGTTTCAATTGTAAAAAATAGATAATTTTAAAAAAACTGATTATAGATTCTATATATTTTAAATATATAAGTAACCAAAATATCTATGATTTTTAATATGTATTTTGGGTTTTTAAACTTTTCAATAAATAAATATATATATATATATATATATTCATTGTGGTTGCAACTTTAGACTGTGCTAGTTAACAATGTATTTTTCCTCTATTGTTCATATGAACTGTTTAATACAACTTATAATATTTGTGATGTTTTTGTTAAAGAGTAAAACTTTAATCAAATTATTTTTTAAAAAAATTGTAAGTTTTATTTTTTTTATACAACTTTGTGTAAGATTAGATACATAATAAAGAATTTAATGCTTCTGCAATAGAATTTAAAATTTTATTAGGTTTTCTTTTTTTAAAATTTTAAATTCATATTAATTCTTAATAAACCATTAAAGTTACCAAATAGTAATTTTATTTTATTTTTTTATTTCTAAAACATATATATATATATATATATATATATATATATATATATCTATATATATATATATATCTATATATATATATATATCTATATGTACAATATTGAAAAAAATGTAAATGAAATAAATTATTTTTATTTTGCAAAAAATAATTCATGTTAATAAAATTTTACTTAATTTTTTTTCTTTTAAAAATAATCTAAATAGAATAAATACAAAACTGGAGAAAATATTAGATATGTAAATATAATGTATCATATTGTGATGTCTTTGGTTTTCAAGATATTGATTCAGCCCACTTTAATTTAACCAATATTAATAATATTGGTAAGTTCTTCTCTGCAAAAAGCTTGGTACTTAGTTTTTCTTTGCCTTTTGTGCCAATGCATAAAATAATTTAATCCAACACTATAAATAACTTATCAATTCACATTTGTTAGCTTATCATCATTTCCAGAATTCATACTGATCATAAAATGTAACTTATTAATAATACAACTTATATATATTTTTGTAATATTCCCAATGCGTTTATTATTCTATACCATAATAACCACATTGACTGGGCACTTGGTTGTGTGGGGGTAGATTATAATGAAAATTAAAAGAAAAAAAATGGAATTGTATATTTGGAATGAACGCAATTATAACTTGTAGATAAAAATAATTCATGTACTGGAATCAAATGAATAAATGAAAATCTATCGGTGACACATCACAGTGCACAAAACTTGCAACAACATTTGAACAAATCTAATAATTTACCCTCCAAAATAAGCAGAAGTCAAGAATGAACAAATTCTGCACGCATAACAAATAGATCCACACAACTATTCACGCATGTCTTTTATAAATCAACCAAACCAAATTACCAAACCCGTTTTCTAAAACTACTGTAATGAAATTAACCAACCAACAAACAAAGAATGATAATTGCAAATAAATAATGTTGTATTCAAAAGTGCAAGAAAACGTGACAGAACACAAAAGTCCTCCCTTGAAAAACAGTGGATACAACCTCCTCCTAAGCCTAAACCACCTCCCTTTGATGATGAAAAGAAGAAATTCGATGTGGATGTTCACATCCCCTCACCGACACGTCCACCGACACACCGACAACCTCAAATCAGCTGTCAGAATGGGCGAGAGACAAAAAAAACTTCGCTTAGAAGAGATGGTATCTGTCGAGGTGGGTGTTTTTCATAATAATTTTGAATTCATGCGAGGTTATGCGCAGCTCCTTGCAGATGAAGGAGAGCACTGGCATCACACATCCCATCCTGCCCAGCACCACAATCTCCTCTGCAAAGCCCAACCAAGTGAAGATCACACTGTTGTTACAAATGCACTAGCTCAGTGAGCTTTTCTAGCGATGGAGGTGCTCATGAAAGTTTCGACACAGCGAGGGAATGGTTCTGTGAGGATTCAGTACCAGGAAGTCTTGCAAGGCCCGCACAGAGATGCTCGAGCAGTGCTTTTTTCATCTTTCCTCCATTCTCCAGCCAACTTTGTACAAGCAGAGGTTTATGGCTAAGTAGATGATGGTTATATCACAGTTGTACTAAGGATGACTACTTTTGTGATTCAGAGGATGGACACAATGACGAAATCGGTGTTGGAAAATAAAATTGATCAGGCATGTTTTGTCAGAGCATACGACGAACAAATGGTTGCTAGATTGAGGAGATGTGAAAGAGTTCTTACTCTTTTAACATGAAGATGAGAACATCCAGTAGTGGGTCCGCAGACGGCTGGTGCTCGGTGAATACAACAACACGCTCATAGAAGCGCTTGATACTGAGCATTCTGACCTCCCACGCCGAAGTTCGGTGAGTTTGCGCGGCGTTATAGTTTTGCAGTGCATGGTTCCTGTGCGTAAGCAACGTGTCTAGAGACAGTCAGATCATTCAACTTTGGAGCATCAAACAGCATTACAAATGTTTCTGTTGCAAACCTGAATTTAGTGCCACATAGCTTCCAACGGTGAAATGTGCTTACCAAGCGGCGGTTGTGTCTGGGCTAAGACGGCCAGAATGTTTGTTTAGAAGTTTGAACACATTGTTTGCTACCTGCCACATATTCAGGAAATACAAAAAAATTAACTAAACATGAGATGATAGGCAGAAGTTCTCTAGGAAAATGTTTTGGTCTGGCGCACCTTTAAGGAGAGTAGTGGCACTACCATATTGTGAGCACTTGAAATAAACCTTGAATTACGTGCAGATATAGGACTATTCCTTTTCCGAAAGTCCATCGGATTTAATAGAAAAATTACCCTCTCGCTGCTTCTGGACTCGAGAATGTGATAGATTCAAGGGATACAAAGCACAATGCATAACGAATAAAACTTACTTCAGCCGAAAATGGTGATGAGGAGCGCCATTGTTCACGCCGATCCTCACGCATTATAATGTCATCCTCCAGCTCTCTCTCCAACTCGAGCCTTAATTCCAATCTCTTCTTCTTCCAACCGAACACCTGTACCCTAGGATCATATTTCCGGAGTTAAATAAACTTCCTTCACCAAGGAAGACAAGCACTACTAGAAAAATTTATTCCTGTATTTATTCCAAATGACATTGAAAAATAAAAACTGCAAAACACCAGACTGAGTGTGCCGAACTTACGAGAGAATCATCTCGAGGTGGATACTTCTTACTTGCCTGTAGCCACATTTCATCCGACCCATCCAACTCAACTCAGAATCACAACATTTACATCAAAAGCAGTCGGAAATTTATGTGCTTGTTGAAATATCTCAAGTTGAGTGGGATCCAGTCAAGCAGTCAAATGGCAGCTCTTACTACAATCACAAATTTTGCAGTAATCAAGCAATGTCTCCGGTTAGGATTGTTGAAACTGTAACGCCATATCTTTGTGCTGGGTTGGGAAAGGACTGTTCGTAATTACCTTGGGGCTCTTCGACTTGGGGGTTGTCGGAGGTGATGGTGCACTTTGGTCTTTCATTGAGGAAGTCGGGCGGCTGATGGTCTGTGATCACATATTGTCCACTCATAACCGAAGATTTCTTCAGAGAGACTTTATCTACTCAACTTAAGGGACGCTGATGATTCTAGAGTGTCAGGGAAGAATCCAGTAAAGTTACCTCGCTAACTGATTTGGTTGCAGTTGATGGTGGTCTGCAAAGTGGCACGAGGCATGCTTTAGATCAGCAACTAAGTGACTCATTGGATTCTTCACTACGTAAATATCAAAATTCAGGTACAACCACGAAGACTTAGTATTGATGGATCTTGGAACGCTTGGTTTATCCCTGGCTCAGTACTAGTAATCCTCCTCTTCCTCATAGCAACTCAACAGACTTGAATATGAAAACGAATCAAAAGACCCTTCCATTTGTGAACTCAGAATAGGCGATGAAGAGGTGGGCAAACCTGGGTTGAGGATCACTACGTCTTTTAGCGAGGTAGAAGAGTGTCGTCTATTGTATCTATGTAATGTGCATCGGGTGAATATGATAAAAGCAGCCGAAGTATGACCCAGAAAGAAAGTTACTGGTTTTCAAGGACAAGTATGGTACATGCATGGTTGATGATTGCAGATTCGGCAATTGTGCAGGCACATCCAAGCCAACAGTGGTAACAATTACAGCTAATTACCCGTCAGTGTAGACTGGTATTGCTTTGCCACCCGCTCCAAGGACATATTGCTCCCCTAGAGAATGTTGAGAACAATTAACTTTTCAATTCTGGACTAAGTGTCAGGTAAACTCAAAACATACAATTTAGATGCTAAGCATTCGATTCTGTTTCTGTCAGTTCAAATGTCAGGTTGGGCACCTTCTGCGGGTGCCACGGTCACTCTCCTTGCAACTGACTTCATCATGCCTTCTTCAATCCTCTCAATGTAAGCACCACCTTGCTGCAATCACGAAGCATGGAATCGCATAAGGTCACATGCACCGCAAAGACCTGCCTTCGAATGCGTCCCAGTCAGTACTTTTTCCCTGCTTTAAACACAACCAATACGGACTTGAAGACATTACTTCCGGAGAGGCCATGGCACCTACTTCTTTCAAGCTGGAGAATGAGGTAAACACATAAAAAATTAAATACGCGGTGCACGTACAGCAAGCACGATGAAAGAGTTTTAGTAATCTGACATGTGGATATGTAAATTACCCTTATCAGCTTGGCAATTTTGTCTGTGGCGAGCAAAGGTGCTTTTGGAAACTTGACGTGATCTGAATCTGAACTACAGTCCAGTATCACTACATAAGCAGAAAAATAGATTGTGTGTTGACATCCTCAAAAGCAGACGGCGCACCAAAAAAAGATCACATTCACAGCATTGAGTGTGTACCAACAAAACCACTGAATTAGAATCGACTCTGTGAAGGTGAAAATGGAAAACCCACCATGGGATTGTGTTTAGATTTGAGAGTGAAGTAAGTAAGCACCGTGAAAAAACAGCAGACCCATTATCGTAAGCATGCGATCCATCTCCGAGGCTGCTTGGGAATGCTTCAACTGCTGCGCTCGTCTCCTTTTCGACGGTGACATCTGCGCCTCCTCCGCGGCTGCCGCCATCTGCTCACGCTGCTCATTTGTGACAGGAGGCACAGGGAAGAAGTCGAAATTTTTTAATTTATCGAAACTATCTGCGCCGTAGGGCGGCTCGGGCATAGGAGGATCGCGGCTTGCGTGAAGGTTTGGAACACCGAGGCAAGTAAATGGCTTCCCTAACTCGGACCATACCCCGCGTTGCTTTCTGCGAAGCCAACATCCTCGCCATTCATAGAGTATCGACACACCGAACATAAACAGACTCAAGAGTTTCGCTAATACAATTGTATACATTGTATGACCACTTATGACCCAATTACAACTCATTCAAGTCGACACATAACATGGGTTTATACAGAGAGGATGTATCAGCACTTACCAAAGACCTATTCGGGCATTTAAGTTGTGGAAGTCATTGAGAGTCGAGTGGCACCTGCGCTGGGCCACGGCAGTTTTGGTAATGACTTCACGAGCTACTACCTCCTCCTTGCAACCCATGGTTGATTCAATCACGGTAGGCATTGGGCGGTTCTCAGAACCTTTAAGTACCTGTCATGCAACAGTAAACCATTTCGGCAATTAGACGAAGCCTGGACAATCGCATGTAATTCAAATATTCTGTGCATGGTTACGCCTAATTGCTTTTTGCTTCTGATAAGAACTGTAGAGGATTCTGCAATCGTTATTGTCAACATGCTTTCTCTTCGTCCTATAAGAAAGAGAAAGGCAACACGCCGATCGCTATATATTGATACTGTTCCAAGGTCCAACGGATAATCCACCACAGTTCCCTCTCAAACCTTTGCACCTTGAATTTGACTTACAAAAAAATAGTTTTCGAATTTCTTGCTTGCAGTGAAGGTCTTCATCTTCAGATTGCGCTCATGCAGTTCCTTTTTGATGCCATGAATCAATGGGCTCTGCAAGGATGTGACAGATTCTTGCCACAACTTGGGCTCCATATCTCCGGCAGCTTTAATGATTCGTGGCGTCATATCAAGGTCCCCTACGATCTGCAGTGCATGAACCAGACATCTTGATCAATAGCATAAAGAATTCAATCTTTATCTTTAGTGAAGACTTTTACAGATGTTCTTCTCTTTGCCATGATTTAACAGCTTCAACATCTTATACTTACCTTCGTGACTTTCTCATGTACAAGTTGTTTTCGGACGAGCTCTTCGGCGGGGGGTGGCTCATAAAGCCCCGTCCCAGATACCCTCCTCCTTGAATCGCCATTCCTGGAGTCTGCTAATGCAGCTGGGTTAGTCGCCTGTGCTCCCTCGTCCCAACCATTTTCGGTACTTTCACTTGGTACCTTCGGAACGTATTCCATATTGTTGTGCATTTTGGTTTCTTAAGGTTATATCTCGCCGAGGGAGGGAAAATTCAAGACATCAACTGCTGTTCAAGACGCTAGATCGTGCATTAGACCAGGATTGGAGTGTCCAAATAATCAGCGTTGCGGTGAAACCTTAAGATCACTGAGAGTCGAGCACGAATAGGGTCTTGAAATGCTAACTGAAACTTTACTGCGGCTTTCTATCTGCTCATATTCCTCTAAGTAGCCTTTGAAATGCATCAAGAAACTATTCGAAACAACGTTTTTCTTTTTTTCTTTTTTTTCTGGTTTAATCATGGGGATATTGAGTGATTAGGATATAATAAAACTGTGTTATAGATGAGGATGAATTCATTTCTTCAAAGAGACGGAATTCACCACCACCTTATCGTGGTGAGACCTAAACCTTGGATAAACTTCATTCCCACCTTTGAACATGATGGTCAATATTGGAAAGCCCGTATCATCATCATCAATATCATCATCATGTTAAAAAGTCCGTATCAATATCATCATCATGTTGAAAAGTCTTCAGACACAGGGCAGCAATATCCAAACATTACTCAAGCATGGAATGCGACACCTGAGAAGTATGCTACACATGAGACTTCACAGTTCCCTTCATTTCTCCAGAACGATCCTTCTGAATCTTCATGACGGAGGTACACAAGCGTTTGATTGAGCTGGGGATCTGATATCCAAAATCATGTCTGAGAGCGATACCACCCAAAGTTCATCCGCGGCGTGAAGTACCCCGTCCAACCGTGCACTTTCCGCAACTGCAAGGTCCCGCTTCACATCACGGTTTCCAAAGGATGTGACTCCTCGTAATGGCTTTCTGTACACAAATGGCACATCCCCATTCCCTCTGTTCTGCACGAAACAGTGCCACGCAACCTCGGCACCCAAATGGACCAAAACAATAATCGTCCACACACAGCTCCAGGTACAATTAGACCAAGGCAGGAACCTTCGACTAGCCACTCACAATCACTAAGAGGGAGAACACAAATCCAATAACCGAACACTGAGCTGAAAAGTCTCGGGGAATGAGAGAACAACAACGGAAGCAGCTACGAGACTGCTGCGATAACATGCAATGGGTTTATGGGGCAATGGCATATACCTTGACATCGCAGAAGTACGCAGCAAATGGACACCGATCAGTGATCCACACCCTGCTATTCAATTAACAACCGTAATTCACACATTCAGCTTCGTTAGCGGAGAAAATCTAAACTTACAGTCATGAAGCTATAAGACGCAAGCTATCTACATCGTATACAACCCCCCCACTCCCCCCCCCCCCCCCCCCGAAGGATTGTACTAATCTACCCTGCCTCAGTCGATCACGGAACAGACAATTGCGCCGCGTTGTTCCTGCCATTAGACAAATTCGCGGAAGATCTAGACAGAGATCCTTGCCGTCTTCCGTGGCGGCGACGAATCCATGACCGGTGTCATCTGCGCAACTAAATGATCGCTGGTGCACAGAGAATTATAGATTAACTCGATGACTCAAGCCGCCGCGAAATAGAAAGCGATGAATCCGCGAGACATTTCTCGCATTGCCGCAGTTCCATCCCACGGCGGCCCATTTTGCGGGGGTATCGTTTCCAGTGTTTGGCTATAATCATATAAGGTGTGAGTTTTAATTTCATTGTTGTTGTAGAAATGGTCACAATATTTGACTATTGTATGAACAAAAAGTGAGTAATGTCTAGCTTTTTTGAACAAAATATGAAATGCTTGATGATTGTTTTTTACTTCTTCTCATCATTTTGATCCAATTAAATGCAATTAATTTTTATTTGACTAAGTAGGGTGGTATCAATGACATAGATCTTGAAGAAAGAAATCTTTAGTACACTCTTATGTCACTTAAAAGAACTAAAAAGTCATTCAAAGATGATATAGTATTAAATTAGAATAGCTATTACCAAAGACAAGAAGACTAGAATGTCTTGAAATAAGATTAAGGATTAGAAAGGTGTTGATAAGAGTGAAGGAAGCTTCACTCTTGCCTTCATATATATTCTTAACCAAGAGTTATGTAGTAATGTCCTATAGGACCTCTAAAACGTGTTGACTTTGTAAAACACATATCTTAACTTATAAGGCAAGTTTTTTATATATGCACAACATGTTTAGCTTCTTCCACAAGCTATCAATACATGATTAACTTGTTGAATAATTTTTTAACCTATCAATTAACTACAAACACATGTAAATTCAAAGCAATATCTATAAAGCTTCTAAAAAGCTATTCTAAAAAATATTATGAAATAAATCTATTTTTTTATCTACTTTTACTTAATCATATATATAAATACTAGAATAAGTATAAATGTCTGTGACATTATCTCCATCTTTTTTCATAGACAAGTTCTACAAAGAACAGTCATCATCTTTTATAGATCTTACAATTCTTCATCTTGACTTTGATGGATGTTGTTGATAGAAGGCCATAACTTTTTTTGTTGCATTTACAAAATTCTTTGTTAGCTCTCATGTACATTTACTAATATTATATCCATATCAATGAATAAGATATTCTAATCTATTTTGGCATTGCCTTGAATCTAAGACTTTCTTTTACCTCAAACTCTTAATTATTATCTAATTTTATAAGAAGAGGTGGCATTTGTCTTCTTCTTCAGATATTCATTGTTCTATATGGCTCAAGAAGAGACATATGGAATATGGGATGGATCTTTATAGAATTTGATATAATTGATAAGCTACAAGATTGACTTGTTTACAAATAAAAAAAGATTCAAGTCTATAATAGTCCAACTTATCATAAGAACAAGTAGTCTTGATATTATGACAAAATAGCCATATCTTGTCACCTACATTGAATTATAATTGTTCTTTACGATATGTATATACATTGATCTTTTGTTATTTTTGAACTTCCTTTAACTAAGTAAAATAGGACTAGACTATCTACCATGGGAGGTTGTATGATGGATCCTACCTGGTCCACTAATCTAATCCCAATTCTAGAAACTTCCATGGTTCTAATTATCTATATAATTATCTTATCTATACCATGTTATAGTTAATCTCCCTCCACTAATACAAAACGTCCTCATTTCACTTCTGGTGGTATCTTCAAATTGTCTCTTAGTAATGGGTGTGGTTTTGTGTAGGTTCTTACGTTGCATTGTGAATGGGATAACCTTTCCAAAGAACTTTGTACTTGAGTTGTGGATGTCCATTACCACGATAAGGATAGCGATGCTCTAAAACACTACCCACTTCATTTTCTTGTTGGTCATCAATTACAACTAGTGGTGGTGGTAGTTGGTATCAATCCGGAAAGCACTTTGGTTAAGTATGAAATTCGTTCAATTTCAAAATATGAAAGATTAAATGGACTTAAATATGTGGTGGAAGCTCGAGGGAATATGCAACATCAAAAATCACTACAGAAATACAAAAAGATCTAAGCCACTGAGGTACTCATTTACAAATTTGGGTTGATGTAGCAAGAGGCACATTGGCATTGGAAAGTAATACCTAATTATCCTCTCTAAAGATCTTGTATTGCTGATGGTTATCCACATATTACTTCTCTCGATTCTATACAATAAAGAAGCAATGCCATGCCTCTTGTAAGCTGTTGTATAAATTCCTCCATTATTGGATTCTTGGTATGGATAGAACAATGGAGAGTTGTTGGCGTAATTAGATGTTGATCGATATTAAGAAAAAATAGTGAATGATTGGTACTTACTTAAATACTATTATTATAAGAAAATTCTAAAGGCGTCAAGTATTCATCTCAATCATTATGATGAATTGCCACAAATGCATGTAGCATATTTTTGAAGATTTGATTTACACACTTTGTTTGTCCATCTATTTGGGAATAGAAGGCTATAGATATGGAAAGTCATGTACTTCGTAGCTTGAATAATGTTTGCAAAAAAATTCCTATGAAACGTGGAACTCAATCTGAAATGATGATATGAGATAATCCATAGTGACAAAAGATGGTATCAAAGAAGATTCGTGTAAGTATTGGGGCATTAATATTTGAGTGCATTGCAACCAAATGAAGTTGCTTCAAGAGTCAATTTACGAAGACAGCAACCAAGGTATGATTATGAGGCGTCTATGGTACATACGTAATGAAATCCATAGTCACCTACTCCCAACATGTTCTAGGTAGCAAAATTAGCTACAATAGTCTAGAAGACGCTGCGATACATGCTTTGTTACATTGACATGACTCATAAAAGCATATAAAGGTTCAAACATCTTAATCCAACTTATCCAAAACCATGTCCTTGATATCTATTCTAGAGTCTTTTCTTGTCCTAGATGTCTAGATATTAGGATATCATGTCCTTCCTAAATTATGCGCATCCAAAGTTTATCATTGCTGGATATATAAATTCGCTTCTTGAAATAGAACAAGCCATCACTAAAAGTGTAATCTTGATATTGTATATTGTTTACTTTCAACTAATTGCTAATTATCTTGAAATAAATATCTTGATACATAACTTCCTTCTATTTTGCCTCTTTTGTTAAAACTGAAATGATATTACTAATGGTAGTAATTTATGCCTTATCTTTTTATTTGTCCTTCAATTTTGGTCTTTGCAATAAGTTGTCTAGCACAGTATGTTGTTGCCCTTGTTTGTACTCAAGCTGGATATCAAAAAGCTGTAACTGTTCTTCTCAACAATGATGCTATAATTTCATATTTTCTAGATGCAAATCATATAGCAAGGATCGATGGTCAGTCCAAACAACCATTGGCTTCCCTAATAGATAGTGTCGCTACACCTTTGTGGCATGTACAATTGCTAATTGCTCTTGATTACTTACAAAGTAATTGTACTTTATCCTTATGAGTTTGTATGATTCATATGCCACAAGTTGAAGGGCCCTACTAAAGTCTTATTAAAAGTCCGCTCCAATAGCAAAGTCAAAAGAATCAATATCAAGCATACAAAGGAGATTAAGATCATACGACTATAATATTAAAGCAGTAATGAATGTCTTCTTTAATTTATCAAAAGTATTTTGCTGCTTCATTTTTCATTCAAATGAGGCACCTTTTTCCAATAGGCTTATTAATGAAGTAGTGATGTAAGCAAATTGCCAAACAAAATGGCAATAGTATCTAACAAGGCTTAAAAATGAGCGAACTTCATTAACATCCTTGGGGGTTGGCCAATCTTCTACTACTTTTATCTTATCTTATTCCATATGCATGCCTTTGGATGATACTACATGCTCCAAAAAGGTGACTTCTGACTTCTAAAGTTCACATTTTTATTACTTGCAATAGAAACGACTATCTTGCAGTCAGGGTAGTACCTCTCATAGGTGTTGTTCATGCTTTTTAAAGATTTTATTATATAAAAAGTTATCATCAATGAAGATGACTATATATTTGTCCAAAAGGTCTCAAAACAATCTATTCATGTGATCTATGAAAGAGGTTGGAGCATTGGTGAGGCCAAAGGGTAAAACCAGCCATTCAAAATGTCCATAGTACGTACAAAATTTTGTCTTTTCTACATCCTCTCTTCCAATAGGTATTTACCAATAATCGCTTTAAAGATCCAATTTACTAAAGATGGTCGCATCTTGAAGTTGGTCAAAAAAATCATCCATGCATGAAAGTGGATATGTATTTTTAACAGTTTGTTTATTGAAACCTTGATAGTCAATGCAAAGGCAAAATCCACCATCTTTCTTAGGTGCAAAGAGTACAAGTATTCTCTATGGTAATGTGCTTTCTTGAATGAGGCCTTTCTCCAAGAGTTTATTCAATATCTTTTGCAGTTCTTGAAGTTCTTTTGGTGTTAGGTAATAAATTGGTCAGGTTAGTGGTTTGGATGCAAGCAATACTTTTATTTGAAAGGGAGCACATCGATTAAGAGGTATGCCACTAGGTAGGTCAATTAGAAAAATATCTTTATATTCTTGTATAAGTTGCTCTACCCATTTTATTTTCTTGGTTGTCTTTTCTACCACTGACGTAAGATTTGGAACCACCATATGTATTGGTTGCTCATGTTGTAGTTGCTTCTTCATAAAGGTTGTTCCTACAAGTAAATCTTTACTTACAAATTATCTTTCTTCTACATTTAGTATAGAGGTGCGAAGAGTCACCTTGTGTCTTCCATCTTTAAAAGAGATTGTCCTTGATATCCAATCAACTTATTTATTTTCTATTTCTAGCCATGACAAACCAAGGATAATATCATACTTTAGCTTTGTCACCTTGAATTTTTCTCTTAAGATGTAAGTATCTGTCAATCTAAGAA